TTAATATGTATATCCTTTTTATAGAATAATCCCAAATCAAAGATAAAATTCATATATTTTAAAATTTTCTTTGTTACGTCAAGATGTGGCTTACTTGGAGATTGCATAAAATGACTTAAAAATATAATATTTGGGCTTATAATTGTTAAGTAAACGAGACTACCAATATGAGAATGAAAAGATGGAGGGTGAGAAAGAATCTTTCCATAATTACAACTTAACTTTATATTTATATCAAGCAGAGTATAAACCTTCTTACTTTTATTAATTCCAAACCTTTAATAATTTTCTTTACGTAGCTTGTTTAAGAGATAAGTATACATTCTTTTGCATTCATCACCACCAAACCAAAAAAAATATTAAGCTTTCCTAAAACTTTTATTTCAAATCAAAGAGAAAGATCATTAAAGCTTTGAAATCTCTATTTTATCATTATCAATGATGATATCATCCAGGTATAAAAGAACAGTAATATATAGGCTTTCGTGCTTTTTAATAAATAAGTTAGGATTTGAATAAGAAGAAAAATAATAATAGAAATATATGTATTGAACAATTTTTTCATACCATACTTAGGAGTTTGTTTTAGCCCATGAAGAGCTTTCTTAAACTTGCAAACATAATTTGATTTGGAAATAAAAATATACTTAGATGGTTGTTCCATATAAATATCCTTTATCAATTTCACCATATAGGAATGTATTCTTCATATTAAGTTGTCAAAGCTTCTATTTAAGAGTAGCTACTAGAGTAATCACCATCTTAATAGATGTCATCTTGGTCATAGGATTAAATGTTTTCTCATAATCTTCTCCATATTTCTGATAAAACCTCCTTGCAATAAGTCTATAAATCCACCTTATAGACTCATTTGCAAGTAATTAGATTTATATTTACAGGTTTGACATATAAGATTTTAAATTTTATTTTTATAAAAAATATTTATTTCTTCATTCATGGTATCCTCCCACACCTTAACATCTTTGACTTCATCAAAACAAATAGGCTCAATTGGTTTAGAAAAGAAACAATGACATGCTTATATTATCTCCATTTTTGTAACGTGCTGGTTTAACAATTATTCTTTTTTATCTTCTTAATGTTAGAATTTCCTAAACATCATTACTCTCTCGATCATTTTGCTCCATCATTGATGATGAAAAAATAACATGAGTAAATTCAGATAAGGAAGAAGATGAGCCAAAATTCATAGAAGCATTAGATGATAAAGGAAACTCAACCAGATTTTGAACATATATCACTTTCATTATTGTGATTGATATTTTCAAACGAAATTACTTATGAAGAATAATAATGAAAAACTTCATCAAACATAATATTTCGAGATATCATATACCTATGTGTTTATAGATCTATACAATTTTAACATTTTTTCCTTTCATCATGGTCAATAAAGATGCATTTCTTGACCTTAACGTTAAGTTTACTTCACATAGTACCGAGAAACCAAATACTCTAAAATATTTAACATTTAGTTTCTCACCAAACATGAGTTCATATGAAGATTTCAGATTGATTGAACTAAGAGGAGTTTAATTAATAACATAAGTTGCATATACCATATCTTCTACTCATAAGGTTTTTATGTTTTTTTGCATGAAGCCAACATTTACAAGTATCCATGAGATGTCAAATCTTTTGTTTAGCCATATCATTTTGTTACAGTGTATTTACACATGTATGTTTCCTTTTGATGTCATACTCTTTATAAAAAGAAAAAAATATCAAAAGTAAACTTTCCGTTATTATCGGTGCATAATGTTTTAATTTTTATTATTCTAAAGGTCTTATCATATTTATTAGCATTAATAACTTACATCGCAATTAGGGATGTGGTACGAAACCACGAGTTCATTGCCTAGATGGAGTGGATGAGACTGCAATAGTCGTACGCAACATCTAGAAGCAAGTTCACATGGTTAGACTTGTTCTAAAGTAACGATATTTGTTTGCATCGATCCGTGCCTTATATCATGCGAGTACCATTTTGAGAATCTATCAATGGATTATTGATAAAATGGAGAAACAAATGTCATATCTTTCTAATATATATATAATTAAAAAATATGACTCCATGAATATATAACACCGTGATTATTCTAGATACATCGAGATGTATCATGTCATGTCGATAAAATTGAGTATATACTCTACATTTCAAGTGATTTCATCACATATATATATATATATATATGTATGTATAATTAAAATTTTTGATTGGACAGTAGAGGAATATATTGTTAGGATCAAGAAAGCCGATTCGTAAATCACTTCAACTTTTGATTAAGCGAAATGCAGCAATGATATAAATACAGTTTGCAGTTATGATTCAAATCAGATAGTAGGCGCAAACTGAAATATGATATTCGTATGAAGAAACTGATTTACGTCTAAATGATGATTCGTAAATCACTTGATTAAGCGAGATGCAGTTTAAGCAAGGATATAAATGCAGTTTGCAGTTATGATAGAAATCAAAACGTAAACGCAAACTGAAATATGATGATCGTACGAAAAAGCTGATTTACGTCTAAACGCTGATTCGGAAAATGCAAAGCTTGAAACCCGATCGTATATGCGCAGAAAACAGTAAGCTTTAGAGGAGGTTTGCAGTAAGGATAATATGCTCAAAGTAAATGCAAATTGAGATTTAGAGTGGTTCGGTCAATCTTGACCTACTCCACTTTTGGCTTCCTCCACCGACGAGGTCACCGACGTCAACTATAGGCCTTCCTTCAATAGGCGAAGGCCAACCACCCTTTTACAGTTTCACTCCTTTTGATAGGCTTAGGAGACAACCCTTACAGAATTTTCTCTCCTCTCTTTACAACTCAGAACTTGGAAGAAAAGAGGGAGAAGAACTTTTGGCCTTTACAACAATTTTGAGCTCTAAAAATCACAGAACAAGATCAAGATTTCGGTGTAAGTTCATGCCCTTTCAGTGCTGAATGGGTGGGGTATTTATAGGCCCCAACCCAGTTCAAATTTGGAGCTCAAAACTGTCAATTCCCGGAATTCCGGGATCAGGCGGTTGCACCTCCTGACTGAGGCGGTTGCACCGCCTGGCAGAGCTCGAAGACTGAGCCTCTGGGCGGTGCCACCGCCTGGCTGGAGCGGTTGCACCTCCCACTCTCGCTCGGAGACTGAACCCAAGCGGTGCAACCTCCTACCTTGGGCGGTTCAACCGCCTGGCAGAAATCAGGGTCCGAATGGGTTGATCCATTCGGCCCAATTTGGGTTTTTCAGGGGCCCAATTGCCCCAAGATTAAGTTAATGGGATCACGTCTCATTTCCAACTTAATCATTGTGCTAACTACGATATTCCCTAAGACATTTACTGCAACTTGCTCCGGTGCGTCAATCGCTTCTTCCGGCGAACTTCCGTCGATCATCCGATGAACCCTTAGTGATGCTCCTGCGGACTTCTGGAAAACTCCTGGACTTGCGATGATTCACTTGGCGAGTTCCGACGAGCTTCTTTGGCAAGCTTATGGACTTCTCGGATTTGTTCTCGCAAAACCTCCGACGACTGTCCAAACTTCCGTCGAACTCCCATCGTGATCATTATCTTGACTCCGGCGCAACTCCTGCTGCATGTCTTACTTTCATCGTAGTTAATCCTGCACACTTATCTCAACATACAGATTAGATAACAAATGACAATTGATTTCATCATCAAAATCCGAGATTCAACATATATAACACCATTATTCTTCTTCTATATAGATCAGGATATATTATGTCGGTATCGATAAAATTAAGTTTTTACTCTGCATGTCATCATCAAGAACGTTAATTAGTCTAACTTTCAATATCAGAAAATAATAAATATTATTTCTCCTATTATATATTAATTCTATCATTATCCTAGGCTTATTAGATGACATATCTTATGAGGGGGTATTATATAATTGACAATTTTTTTATTATAATGTTTCTTGACTTTTTCTAACTCATCATCGAATCGATTATAATAGTCTATGTATAAGAGGCTTACCTCTAACCCCCCCAAAAGGGAAAAGACCTACGTAGATTCTTGTAATCAAATGTAGTGCTTGCACAAAGGATCCGAGCCTCTCTCTATTAGTGAGGGTACTCCTCATGAACGAAGAACCCCTTTCATTCATGAGAAGGGAACAACAACTCATAAAGAGAGTGAATAGGATGCATAGCTCAAAGAGGCACCTTATGATAACCTCTGATTTAAGCATCAAAGCTCAAAAGGTGCTATGTGATAGTAGTCTCTGACTTAAAGATTACCGATCAACTATCGATACCCTCTTTCTATTTGTCTAGTAGATGAATCTTCTTCGATCATTCAAGCACAAGAACGGGATGATCGAACATGATCGGAATCCCTCACACAGTGTACAGGCCATGACTAGAACACAATTATATCAATAATCAACAACATACATACATACATACATACATACATACGTATGATGGACTCTATAACACGTCATAATTCATATAAATTATTATTGTCTTCTATAGTTTGCCAAATTACATTGATAAAAATTAATCTTTTATATATTATCTGAAGGACAAAGAACATAATTATTTCCAGCCATATATCTTCGTAACTCCTCACCGACACTTAATTCACACAACTCTGTAACTATTTGAATACATTGATTAGATTTCACTATAGCCCAAGGAAATGAGACTCCTATTAAAATATATTATATATATATAATCCACGTAATATTATTTCAATAAATAATGTAAATATTACGACATTAATTATCCAACGGAGCAGACATCTCCCACTGATCTCCACAATCCTTCTATCGACTACTTTTAGTAGGTGACGGAACCTGTCTCTTCCTATCGTGATCACAACATTGGGTTCTCTTTCTTGGATTGATACTGATGAGAGACCGACCACACGCACGTCTCTTCCCACCGGGAGCCCTCCTCCCAACATCAAAGAATCTTTAAAGTTTAAGCTATGCATACATGTAATTGTTCCTTAGACAATTCAACTCATTCGTGTCATGGCCTATCTCGAGCAGAAACAAAGCCACTTGATACTTTCTCCATGTGAAACGGCAACCCATCTTTTCCACAAACTATAGGAGACGAAGGGAGAGGGACCTGTGAAAGCAAAGCTCCAACTCCCAAGAGATAGGGGAAGAGAGCAGCGCTCGGCCTTGTCTCCAATGTCCGGGTTCATAATAGACGAGCTCCCCCTCCTCCTTCTTCCTGCTCTGGTAGCCCTCTTCTTCTACGTCAACCTCGTCAGATGGAAGAGGCTGAAGAGGTTGAACCTCCCACCTGCCGGTAGCGGTTGGCCTTTCATCGGCGACACCTTCGCATACCTCAAGCCTCATCTGGCCACCTCCACTGGCCTGTTCATGGAGCAACACATCTCCAGGTAACTCCACCGCACTAGTTATTGCCTCGGATCCAGCCGATAACCATGGATGCTGTCGCTTAGGTACGGGAAGATCTATCGGTCTAATCTCTTCGGTGAGCCGACCATAGTCTCAGCCGACGCGGGCTTGAACCGCTTCGTACTTCAGAACGAAGGGAAGCTGTTCCAGTGCAGTTACCCGAAGAGCATCGGAGGAATTCTCGGGAAGTGGTCGATGCTGGTTCAGGTGGGAGAAATGCACAGGGAGATGCGGATGATCTCTCTCAACTTCATGAGCAACGTGAGGCTCCGGTCGCATCTCTTGCCGGAGGTGGAGCGCCACACGCTGCTTGTGCTGCGGTCTTGGAGGGAGAATTCTCCTTTCTCTGCTCAGGAAGAAGCTAAGAAGGTATACATTCATGTCAATCAAATCTTCAAGCATTTAGTTTGAGAATCCCTACTGATAGTGTCGGTCGCGTCCCTTAACACGCAGTTCACCTTCAATTTGATGGCCAAGAACATCATGAGCATGGACCCATGTGAACCTGAGACCGAGAAGCTGAGGCTGGAGTACATAACCTTCATGAAGGGTGTAGTATCTGCCCCTCTAAACTTCCCCGGAACTCCATACTGGAAGGCCTTGAGGGTACGCTACTCTTCACGGTCACAGCTCGGTTTCAATCATAATTAGCATTCAAAATGGAAAAGGAAAGAAAAGAAAAATACTAAGCCATGAGATACTGCCAATTCTGGAGATAATGTTATAGTTCTTGGCCCACAAAATGTACAATCTATGAAATAGTTCTTTACCATGCTGTAACATTGCATCCATCGCAGTCACGGTCAAACATCCTGAGGGTCATCGAGCAAAAGATGGAGCAGAGGATCCAGGAGAAGAGCGAGAGACAAGGAGGAGCAGAGGATCTCCTTGGATGGTCTTTAAAGGAGTCAAACCTGTCCAAAGAACAGATCCTCGATCTCTTGCTGAGCTTGCTCTTTGCTGGCCATGAGACCTCATCGATGGCCTTGGCTTTGGTTATCTTTTTCCTCGAAAGCTGCCCGAAAGCTGTTCGACAACTGCGGGTAGATCGCAAGTCTCATCATCTCTGCTTCAGTTTCTAAGTGGGAAGGTTTGGGTTTCGGCTGTTGACATGTCTGCTGCTACTAATTAGGAAGAGCACAGCGAGATCGACCGAAAGAAGCAACGAGGAGAGGCTGGTCTAAACTGGGAAGACTACAAGCAAATGGAGTTCACCCGATGCGTAAGATCTCCGTACGACACACCAAAGAAGACTCCCATCTCTCTGTATTCTTATGATTCCTTCGATTTGTCTCGTGAATGAAGGTTATAAACGAGACCCTGCGGCTTGGCAACGTCGTAAGGTTCGTGCACAGAAAGGTTCTACAGGATTTGCAGTACAAAGGTACGTCGATTCATGCCTGCCATGTACGCCGTATGTATCATCGAGGGATCTGATTCGCCATGCACGAACTGACATATCTATCTTTGCCTTCGCTTGCAAAGGATACGACATCCCCTGCGGATGGAAAATTCTTCCGGTGTTTGCTGCGGTTCACTTGGACTCTTCTGTTTATGATCATCCTCATCAATTCAACCCGTGGAGGTGGCAGGTAATGAGTCGCGCTCCTCTTAACGCTTTGGCGCTATGCATGTCTTCCTTCATTCGAAGGTAGCATCAAATGTGACCCAATGACTGGTCCACTGATCTACATGTGTCGTTAACTGTGGCTCTGACAAAATTAGGTTCGATATACGTCTCTATATAAGATCATTCGTGGGGCGTGGTGGTGCGACCAAGATATCTTTTCATTTGTCTTGGCTGATGTGTTTGACCTCTACGATGGCGTTTAGTCAGACACGTACGTATGTCCTGTGTTTAGCGGATTGATCCATAATCTTTAGTGGATGGGGCAGTGTGACGGAATGAATGCGACGTGGTCCAAAGTCCTGTGGAGAAGGTGGATGATGGTTGCGTGCATGAGTGCGTGCGTGCGTGCGTGATTCGGCTCGTGCGCCGGACCCACGCTCAAGATTTGGCACCAGCATGATGTTCTACCTCGCAGCCACCTTTAGATTAAAATTAGACGTATAGTTACATGGTTATTCTCTGATCTAGATGAAGCACAAACACACACACACACACCCTCTCTCTCTCTCTCTCTACGTCTCAAATGCTCCATGAGAAGGGAGGAGGAAGAGGGAGGCGAAGGAAGGGGGCATGCATTTGTTTGCTACATGCTTGTCTAAGGAACTGCTTTCTTCTCCCTCTTCTTACCTTTGCCTTGTGCAGAACAACTCCTCCAGCGTGACGGCGGCGACGAACAACTTCATGGCTTACGGCGGTGGCCCCCGTCTCTGCGCGGGCTCCGAGCTCGCCAAGCTCGAGATGGCGGTCTTCTTGCACCACCTCGTACTGCGCTACAGGTGGGAGTTAGCCGAGCCGGATCAAGCGTTCGCCTTCCCCTTCGTGGAGTTCCGAAAGGGACTCCCCATAAAAGTATACTCCATACATGACAGTCCTGTGTGACATCTCAAGAGTCTTCTGTTTACATTTGAATACACGTACGAAGGAGCAGTGGTTATATATACGTGTGTGTATGTTCAAGCTCTGAATAAGGTTAATTGGTCACTTGGGTGCATAGTACAGATATAGGCAAATTGGTGGAGCAAGTTATCCAAGTTTTGAGAATTTAACATGATGAACAAATATTCCACCTTTTAGTCGTCGTCTTTAAACTTAGAGACGTTCATATCATAATAATACCGTAAGAGATGCTTGGATGCTAATCACGTCATCATAGTCATGCAGTCAAGTTAGTCTGCTCTTGACAAGAATGACATATAAACCAGCCATCGAGATCCTGACACCATTAACACCTTGATTTATGAGCAACTTCTTTTATCCGTATTAGGGAAAAGGAAAGTGATGACGTTGCCAACTCATCCTTTTCAAAATTGTCACCTAAGCAATAACATGAGCGGAGAAGCTCACACCCATCTTCTTCCGTGGTCGTCGACAGAGCGCCTACCCATCCAACTCTACCCATCTCAGTCTCTCAAAAAGCTGACAACGAGGCTCATCTCTTCTTTCCTCTTTGTTAGAAACGTCCATTACGAGAAATCTGACATCTCTTACCGATCACAGTTCTAGAAAGACTCAGACTCATACGACCGATGACAGAGAGCATTAATCCCCCGACAACGTGATTCGTTTTTTCTTTTTGATCGATTGACGCGAGGGACCACTCTCTGTTTATCCCAAACGGACTCAAAATCCTAAGAAACAGTTCCTTCATGATCGTTATTTTCTAATGCTATCATTAGAGAAGCGTGCTCATCTGCGTTGACGTTAATGAGCCCTTGACGATGTAAGGGGCATCCTAACTTGTCATTGGCTTCATATCACTGGTTATTCAGGTATAAAAGTTAACCCCCAAAATCTAAAAAAGGAGGAGAACCAAATTAATCACTACTAAACTCCACTGAACTCTTTCCACACTTCCCTACTAAACTTAGGCATCCGAGGGGTCGGGTCGACAATATCCCCTCGACGTTAATCGCTTGTGCAAGGACCTCAGCAAGGCTAAGGCGCATCTCGGGATGACACCAAATAATCCTCAGCAAGCAAGCAACACCTCGAGATTATGCCAATCTAGTCTACTTCCCACTTGGATCACCCTGATTGACCCCCGTGAGCCCCTTGGATGGACTTGTACTTTCAGGATGGAACTGAGTCATGCTAACTTTACGGTCAACGGCATCAAGGTAATAATATTTTGGCATTAAAAGGAGGACCAAAATGTCATAAGAACGACTATCTACGAACCCTCTCAACGAGCGCTCCAGTGAGGAAATGCCACCCCCAACACAACTCCTTTGAGCAACGAAGGCAGTTGCCCCCCTTCCTACAGATGGAAACCTCCACCTCAAGGCAAACTTCGAGATGCTACTAGCACCTATTCAATGACCCCGACCTTTACTAATTGGAGTCAAGAGCAAGGCATCTACTCGTCCCTTTCGATGCCTTTCTAGTCTCAATCATCAAGTACAGACTCTCATCGGAATGATATATGCAATCACCCCTCTCCTACCCCAACTAGCCCAACAAGCGACCCCTACATTGTGTTCGGCAGTCTAACCCTCGCTTGCTCTCATTGGAAAATCTGGTTAGAGTATTATATGCACAGCGAAAGATAAGAAAATAAAAAACTCAAATTTTCCAAAGAAAAATATTTTATCATCGTGCAACAATTGGTGTGTGAGAAATCATAAAACCGAAAAAAAATTATGCATATTATGTGAGATGTGTTACCTAGGGAGATCATATATCCTTGAAAGATCTTCGATCTATAAGAGAGGATGAAAGATGTCAACCGTCATCCTCTCTAACGGTGATGGTCATTCTTGCATCCACCATTCCATGAGTTAGCTCTTCGTTGAGTCCAATCTCTATATCGACTCCAAGTGTGCTATTATTTGTTGTTGTCTTAAGTTGCTTACTCATTTGATCTTGTAATACGTTCACCAACGTATTACCTTATAATTATGTTATAACTCCTCACTATTCGCTCGATCCATTGAGTTTTGTAGAGTTATTGTTTTGAGGTACTCCTCAACATGTGCAGTCTTTTGCACATGATTTTCCCTTTGGAGCATGAAAACTTATTCTTCCTGGATATTTATTTCATTAGAGCAACTTCTCTCTTTACATCTTTCCCTCTAAAAGTTTTATAGACCACCATCCTCTTAGACTACTCTGTTTTGCCGAATAAACTGTGGATTGTTTTACCCTCACAAACGTACTTGCTACATTATGACTCTTCGCCAATATAATCCTAGCTACACCCCTAAGGACTAACAACATGTTAAACTTGCTACATACTTTAACCTCCTTCAGACGTATCCTTTTCATGCCGAAAAGAATGTTTTAATGCTCCATGACACCAAGTTTCGATCGTCGTGGGATGATCACAAATATTTCATCATCCGTATATAAGCCCTTATATAATTACTGAATTATTCGAGTTAGCAATTCCCCTCACTTCTGTGAACTTTACATAACTATTTTGATTGTTGAGCAACCCATCTCACTTTGTACGGTCTCATCCTTTACCAAGCGTCTCACTTGTCATGAGCACTATTAAGTTTGGTTACCAACGTTGAGTCGTAGCTCGAACTCAGTCATCTCAACCTTTGTGCACTATGCATTCTTCCAAGCTTGCTTATCCTTATGGTACCTCTCGCGCGAAGGGTTGATCATTATTTTGAATGTCAATCTTAGATGTCCGCTCCTTCGAGCGACCCGTTCCCTATATCTCCATGCTCATTTCTCCCAAACGATCATACGTGTTGATTGCCCTCAACACAATCCAATTAGGTCTCACACGTTTGCATGTTAAGTGTTTCTATGTGTGCTTGTCCCTTTCTGATACCAAATGTCATAAATTTAACTAGTTTTGCCTAAGTTATACGACACTTTTGTGTATCCGTCCATAAAAATTAACCTCTCCGAAACCTCCTATAGGCTCTTAGGACTTACAAAAGATAAAATGAGTTAAAGAAAATTTTTCACTCAAAATCTACGATCAATCATTTTAGTAAACACTTTAATGTAAATTATAATCATAAACCTTGCAAGCTCTGAACGATCGCATAATAAAAAATCTAAAATAGTTCATTACAAACTAAAATATATATAAATGCTCACGTGACATAATTTTTATTTACAAATCTAAAACGAGCATAAAAATCAATCAAAACGAGACTACACCAATCCTCTATGAATATAATCCTTTCAGTAAAATATGAACATAAGCATTACAATAATTTTGCTGAAAAAAAGATAAAAATTAAAATATCACTCGATGACCCGCGACTCCGACGGGTCCCTCATCCCGAACCGACTTCTTTTATCCGTGTCTCTAAATGGATCGAGAATCCTCACATATAATTACAAAAGAAGGGAAGAAAGCGACAAGTTAAGCAAACTCCTGCTTGCTTTTGATTCGAGCTTTCCCACGATCGCCGTCGGCGTTACCTTTGGCCCGCGACTCCGAGCAAAGACGACCCGGAGGAGGCAATCGGGTCACAGTTTTTTGCTCTCGTGTCATCGGAGGCCATGAAGACGCGATGGGTTGGTGGAACGCCGCGGGTACCCGCCCACGCAAGCAGCCAACGGCTTTGGTCCCTAACGACGTCATATACACGAATCACGGAACTGCGGCAGCAGGAGAGCGGCCCGGCTAGGGGACACGGTGGTGCAGCCGATGCGGTGTTCGGGGTCGAACACTGAAGCACCTTATTGTGGCCGAAGTTTCCGACACGTCCCGACACGGACGATATCCTTTGGTGGTAAAGGGAGGTGGCTGTCTGCGGGCTCCCAGGACATTCGTAAGAAGGGTCTCGTGAGATGTGTGAAGCCCCACGTGGCATGTCCAACCCCGGGCGGGTATCGTGGAAGAGCAAGCATTGGCGCGAATCGTAGTTCACGACGCACCAACGAACGATCATTTCCCGACCGGCGGGGGGCGGTGCCAGTTGCTGCGGTCGAGATGGGGGCGGGTTCTCCTGTCTTGGCTAAGGCAGACAACAGGGCATCCTATGGTGCCACGTCGGAGGAAGCTCCACCCTTCCTTCATGTTTCCACATTGGTGGTGGGCCCTTGCGAGGCGCACCTCCGTTTTTCTTGGGCTTTTCCTATCTGTTCCGTGCCCTATCTCTCACAGCCGCACAATTCGAGAGAAAACTTCCCACTTTTATAAATCCCACCGGTACCATTCCGCTCAAAACCTTCCCTCTCGACTCCCATCCGCCTCACACACTCTTCTCTCGACACGATATAGCCTGACATCAGAACCGCACCGCATCTCCATTTTTGTACATCAATCCGGCCTAAATGCTCCCTGTCGATCCAGAAGAACAACCACTGAAGAACTTAAAGCTCGCAGACTAAGGAGGGCGTAGTATATTGGTTGTTCGTCGGAGGATTTCAGGCGGGGAATGGCGTACATGTGCGCGGAGAGCGGAAATCTAATGGCGATCGCGCAGCAGGTCATCCAGCAGCAGCGCCAACAGCAACAGCAGCTGGCTGCTTCCGCCAACCCGTTTTCCACCAGCACCCAGCCGTGGGGCGCTTCGCACCATCACCAGCAGCACATGTCCGAGGCCGCCTTCGTCATCCCCGACGCCGAGGCCGCCTTCCTGGAGCCCTTCACCCCCGACCGCGCCGCTGGCTTCGAGGCGCCACCCGGGGGCAGCGGCCACCTTGACCAGGCTCCCTTCCGCCTCTGCGACTTCCGCTCCTCTTCCGCCGCCGTGACCCCGGAGTTCGATACCGAAGAGTGGATGGAGAGTCTGATCGGTGAGTCTCCCGCTGACAACTGTGACCTCATGAGCGACCCGTGGCAGGCCGCAGCGGGCGCCTCAGGCGCCCTCTTCGCGGACGTTTTCCCCTCTTGCTCCGCCGACATAAACCACCCCTTCCACCCGGCGTCCGCGTCGGGCATCAACTGCGTCCTCTTTTCCGAGCCCTCCGAGATCGCTCATCTTCCACCGATCCAGCACGACCACCAGTATACCGCCGTTGTTGCCCTAAACCCTCCGGGACTGGCATCGGAAACCCCGTCATTCGAACCGCCGGAACTAAACAAGGACCCTGGAGCTGCCGCATTCGCCTCCGTCCGAGATGAGGTGCCAGAGAGCAACACCTCATCGCCGCCTCTCTTGGAATCACTCCTCGACTGCGCGCGGCTCGCCGATGGCGACCCTGATCTCGCTGCCAAGTCCCTGATCCATGTCAGGGAGTCCGCCTCTGTGTTAGGCGATCCAACGGAACGCGTGGCCTTCTACTTCGCCGAAGCTCTCAACCGCCGCCTCCTTGGTGATCAGAAGGACCACTCGCATCCCTCCACCGTGGCGGTGCCGCTGTGCTCCACCTCCGCGTTCGATTCGTCACCGGAGGACTTCACCCTCTGCTACAAGGTCTTCAACGACGCATGCCCCTACTCCAAGTTCGCTCACCTCACAGCGAACCAGGCGATCGTCGAGGCCACCGAATCCGCGGCGCGAATCCACATTGTGGACTTTGGGATCATCCAGGGGATCCAGTGGGCGGCACTCCTCCAAGCTCTGGCAACCCGCCCCCGCGGGAAACCCTCCAGGGTCCGGGTCTCCGGCATCCCCGCGCCGATGCTGGGCGCCGCCCCCGCCGCCTCGCTTACCGCTACCGGAAACCGCCTGCGCGACTTTGCCGCGATCCTCGACCTGGACTTCGAGTTCGACCCCATCCTGACCCCGATCGCGGAGCTCACAGTGTCCTGCTTCAGGATCGACTCGGACGAGGTGGTGGTTGTCAACTTCATGCTCCAGCTCTACCATCTCCTCGCCGACTCACCCGAATCGGTGGAGCGCGTCCTCGGGATCGCAAAGTCGCTCGTCCCCCGCGTCGTGACGCTGGGGGAGTACGAGGCGAGCGTCAACCGGGGGCGCTTCGTGGAGCGATTCAAGGCGGCGCTGGCCTACTACGCGGCCGTGTTCGACTCGCTCGACCCCGCAATACGGCGCGACTCGGCCGAGCGAGCCCAGATGGAGCGCGTCCTCTTAGGGCCTCGGATCCTGGGGGCGGTGGGTGCGGGCGATGGGCCGAACCGACGGGAGCGGATGGAGGCCAAGGAGGAATGGAGGGCCGTGATGGAGCGGTGCGGTTTCGAGCCTGTGCCGGTCAGCAACTTCGCGGTCAGCCAAGCGAAGCTTCTCCTGTGGAATTACGACTACAGCTACAAGTACGCCGTCTTGGATTCCGCTCCGGGCTTCCTCACCCTCGCGTGGGGTGACCGCCCGCTTCTCACGGTTTCCTCATGGCGTTAGATCGTCTCTCGCTCTCTCTCTCGCTCTCTCTCTCATTCGGCATATAAGAGCTTAGAGTAGTGAGTCGTCCTGTTATGTTTGGTTGTGTATATGGTTTCACCCTACTTCTGGTGCTTGGTGTAGTATTATGATACTACACTGCTTTGGCTACATGGCTTAGCGGCTTCTCGTATCTTGACAGGCTACCATCTGCATATTTTTGTCCCATGGCGATGGCTACAGATCGAAGAACGGAGAGCAGCTGCCAAAACCATACTTCATGTAAGTGATTCGTTAAGATGGAAATGGCTGTAGTTAGAGGACAGTCAACTACGCACATGGAGCAGCTGATGTAAGGGGCAGAGGGACGAACTATCTCAGCCCCAGCAGTCCATCTCGTCGCTTCCTCCAACGAGTAAGCTCAAGAGATAGAACAGAAGAGAAGGAGGTGACGATCGTTGGCAGGCAGATGAAAGGGAAAGAACGGGGCAGAGGAGAGAGAGAGTACCACCAGCACTGGCGCCCGTGCTTGTGGATTGAAGGCCGACGACTGGGCCGGATCGAGTTTTAGCCCTTCATTGGCCAGTTGGCTCATAGTGACCCACCGAAGCGGCAAACAAGTGCAAGTGAAGACCTTCATACATAGACTGCGTACAAGCGTTGAACGCCCATCGATGATTTTGTTATTATTTTTGTTAAATATTTAAATATAATTTAAAATCTATTAAAGTAAACAGTTAATGATTTGATCGAATTTATTTTGACTCTTTATAGTTTTATGATATATCTATCTCGACCACATGCTTTTCATTAAGAGACTTATAGAACAATGAGAGAAGGAGATGAGATTCGATTATCTCATTCGATGATCAAGTTAAATTGACTTATATTAGAGGAGCAAGCTCATACCGAAAATGCAAAAAGAAAGAAGGACAATGATGAAGTGTAAGGAGAAAACTCATTAAGTAGGTTGATGTCTCTTTCTTTTCCTTATTGCGTGTGGAGAAATCTTCTTGAAGTGTAGGAGAGGAGAGCAAGAGATATATATCTTCTTCTTTTTTTTTCTATATTCATATCTTCTTTTACATGTGTTAATAAACTTCTTTTGAAAGTCTAAATAGGCGTGCTATCAAAATTATGATGCATAGTTAGCAAAAATCTTTGTTAATTTGTTTGGTGTCAAAGGATATAAAGATTAAGTGGTTTTGTAACATAGGATGTCTAGCATCCCTTAGTATAAATAGATAAATTATCAATTAAATTATAATTTTTTTAGAAATACGAAGATCATCGATATCTACAAGTATTGTGTCACTTTTATATCATATAATTTTGATAAAAAGACAGTAAAGATACTTGGAAATCAACCAACTAAGTGTATCAATGATGATAAAAATTGCTTCTTAGTCCGATTAGATAATCGAGCCGTTTGGTTAATTTGATGAGTCAATTTTGATTATTATTTATTTATTAAAATATATTAAAAGAGATATAATTTATAATTATTATTTCAGTTATTACGAATTGAACAATATCAAATTGAGATTTTTAATAGTAGATGAATTATGATCAGTCCATTTTAATTTATTTTCATTCAATAACATTTATTATATTCGACATAAGATATTGGTCATCATTTATCTAACACATAAAATTTATTTCGGAGGAGGTTAAATATTTTTAATTGAGTTTAGGACCGGATTATTAACGGTTCAGATGGGGTGACCGAGGCTTACGGTCACCCAAGTTGAATGGAACGATTCAAAGTTGACACCTCCTCAAGAGCGGCCGAGTCGTGCTTCGTGACTTCGGTGAACCTTTGTTTTGCAGGTGGAGATAACGTCCGTAGATGAGCGGCCACCACCACGCCAAGCAACACGATAATTCCGCTGATTCGACGTGTGACGCGGGACGTTGATCACCGTAACGCTCCCATCACAACCACTGGAAGTCGGAAGCGCCAGCGACACGGGACACTTGATTGGTTCGTTTTGGTCGGTTTGTTGCGACCCCCGCACTCGATCCTGATGGACGAATTGCGTAAGCGCTTACGCCATGGCGAGATGTGGACACGCGAAAGAGTCGGTTCCCAAACGCAACCATGACAGCGATGCATTCCTAACTTCGGTGCGCCTTAGCTGGCACGACGAGTTATTCCACGCCACGTGGTTGGATCCGCATCCGTCGCCGAAGCACCGCTTTGATCCAACCGTCCGTCTCCTCTTCGTCGTCCATAAATATAGGACTCCATCGCTCTTCTCGTCATTCTAGGGTTGCGTCGCCGCCTGTCCTACTATTGGTTCTCGTTCCCCCCTTGGGTTTCCGTCCCAATCTTTTGTGTCCGATCTGATGGTTGAGCCACTCTGTTCGCCGATACACGGCCGATCTGATGTTTCGGCGACACCGATCATCGATCATGCCCGATTTGATTATTTGGAGGTTTCCGTCTTCGATACATGGCCATATGATGTTTCGGCGGCTTTGGTAGCCGATCTATGATTTTGAAGCGGTAACTGGTTAGTTTGCCTTATATCTTTTTTTCTTCTTGTTCTGTTCCTCGATCTATCGGAGTTTTCTTCCCTCTATTCTAACTGTGTTGGAGAATAAATTTATGGTTCTAGTAACATATATTTTCCGATTCTGTTGTTATTTTGGTTGGTTGTATTCTTGACGATCTGGTAGAGCCTACATCGAACTGCTGATTTTGTGTTTCTTTAATCCCTGTTCTTTCCTACTTCAACTTTCAATTTTACGTCTCTACAGGTATAAAATTTTTGCAGCCGATTGCAGGATGCTGGGGTTCGTGCAGAGCTTCGGGGTTCGTGAATGGAGCTGCAACAGCCTATGATCGTGTATCTCGTTCCAGCTGGTGTTCATTCATACCCTAATTGGACCTTGTTTTTTACGCGGCGCATCGGGAGACGAAGATATATGTTTCAGACGAGGTTGTTGGTGGACGGATCCTCATCATGTCTCTCGTTTTAAGTACATAGAACTAGAGATGTTAATATGGGGTTCTTTCTGATGTAGAGCATCTGCAAAGCCGGAAATCTCCATCGAGGGTAAGGTAAATTAGGGACATGTTCAGTCCATCTATTCTTTTGTCACACCGACCTTTGCCATGTTGGGTGCGCTCGCATGGCAGGTCAAAGAAACATAATAAAAAAAGAAGTTTTTTTGTGTTCTTGGGGAGATCGCATGGGGTGATTTTAGAACCCCGGGTTCTCCCCACGGTGTGTATTTTGTTCCCCTCCATCTACTCCGCCCTCCAGATTTCTTGCACGGTTTTCGGGACGATTCCATGAACTTCCTGATCAGTACCTTCTACAATCATGATCCACCAATATTCGTGGCAATTCGGAAGCATAGTGAACATACTGAGGCACACATCTACGGGAATCGTCTGCATCATACTAAGGTACTATTTTCTTACACGATGTGGTCACCCCAAAGCCATCCTCTCTGCCAGTTGCAAGGTATGATTTACTTCGAGTTAGCGTTCGAACGACTTATGCAATTGAAAATAATTCCGCATCTATCAGTTAGTGATTATTGATCTATCACCAAGACTGTTTAGTCAATATCCATAATAATCCTGGTTTACCCAGTGTTGTCTCCACCCGGTTTAGAGTACCGCTTTCGATCTCGTTACATTTAAGTATTAAGCATTTATTTATGCGTTCTTGTCTCGAATACCAAGGTGTTCATGGATCATTGTGCAATTGTTGTGGTATATTGTCCGCTTGGTCTTTGTATTTCAATTTAGATGTTTTACTTGTTTGTTTATGATGTAACTTGTCAAGCAAAGGACCCTATCTAGGCAATGTCGTTATGCCTCGGAACTGTGTGATTGCATGTTGTATGTGAGATATTTTGTATCTTTGTTCATAATGTTTCCTAGGATCGATTCGTGGTCGGCCTCTCGTGGCGGTCTTCAGATTTGTGGATTCAGCTGCTGTGAAGACTCGTGGCGGTAGAAGACTGCTGGTATTCGCTTCGATGACTTGGGGCTTCAGTGTGTACCATGGTCGCTCAGTTTATCTTGAGCCTGGAACCGATCTTCCGGATTCTTCCTTCTCGTTCTGTGCAGCTGCAGTTCGCCACTTGCTTGAGATTTCAACGTGTCTGCTCGTTCGCTGCTGTAAAATGGTTTGCTCAACTAATTTATTTCTTTCATGCATATCAAGCTTCATGTTAGCTAACATTTGATCGCAGAGTCAGTTGGGAGGTTGTACGCCTAAATTTGTGTGCTCTTAAGAGGTTTAATGGTATGGCATGTGGTGATTATGCATTCTCGTCATATACGTTTATTCGCTTGTTATTTGTCTAATGTAGCCTAATTTTCTGTAAATGGTTTCCTGTCAATTCATTTTATTGTCGTTAACATCGGGTTTCCTCTCGAATGTATCCATTTGCTGTAGCTTAATTTTTTTGCCTTTTTTTGTTCCGCCAGGTTGTATCGACGGTGAATCTGTGTTAATTAATTGCCATTAACACTGTTATGAAGATGTGCTGTTGTATATCAACGGCAGTTGTGTTAAGTCTTGTTTACTGGAGAATAATAACGTGGGCGTCTCCATGTTAAAAGTCTACTCCAAAGTAGGCCAATGGCATATGGAGTTATTATTGTTTGAGTTAATGGGAATTTGATCCAATTTTTTATGTGTTTGTTCGTGGAATTAACAGAAATTATATTCTTTTAATTTTATCGTCTTCTGTCAGAATTTATGTTAAATATTTTTATTGCATTTTAAGTTGTGACGTTGTACTCGTTTTTGTTGATGTCTTATATTCTCTCTTTTTTAAACGTAACAATTATGTGAGTTGTCCATTGTAACCCCGGCCTGTGTGGTAGAGTTAGAGGTTTAAACGAGATAAAAAATTGATAAATCATTAGGTGATTTGTGGTTAAATTGATAAATCATTAGGCGATTTGTAGTCTGTTGAAGTTTTGCAGTGACGTGTCCATTTACTTCGCATTTGTGAATCGGGTACTCGTGCTTCTTAAACCCCCCATCTACGTGCCGATGGCTTTTCTATCCAAACCCGAATCTTGTTTCTGCCTTGGGGTTAAGGCTCGAATCGTTGGTTATGTTGCAAGTGAAGCCTTATCTTTTTATTTTTGCTAGATTTCGAGAGCCGGGTGAGTTTGTGTTTTATTCATTTTGTCGTTTGGAAGCCACATTCTGTTGGAGTGCTGCATATGGATCTTTAAGCTCAAAATGGCAGAGCGCTCAGTCGTTTGTGTATCAAATGGCTTGAGAGGGTGGTGGTTCGAATCCATCAAGATCTACTTCATTTGTGTGCTTTTGGGTGCTGCCTGTACTGTGTCGTCGTCGTTGGGCCGTCGAGGCTGTGTTGCATGATCAAATCTGGGCCCTATTGGAAAATATAGTTTTTAATGGTGTAAAAAATATCATCTGTATACTTAATATAGTAAAATTGTTTTCTTTTAATTATGAAAGATGATAAAAGATGTACGAACACAATTAGGAAATATAGTATTTTCTTTCATTCCTGTAGGAAGACTTGAATGCAGTATTATACATTTTTATGATAAATATAAATCAATAGCATTTATTTGTTTTTAGGGTTGGATTCTGATTATTCGTTTTTATGACAATGCTTGAGACACTAGTGAAAAGGAAATAAATAAAATAATATTATATTTTAGATAAAATTAAAGATACAAATGAGCAAAGTAAGCTATCAGAAAACGGAGTTAAAAATTTATTTACATTATGTAAATTAGATGTATAGTTGACGTGTTGATTACAAGCTGGAGAAATGAAACATTAAATTTGATGGTGATATTGTGGAGAAATAAAAAAATTATATAGGAGAAGGAGGTGATCGTGAAGGAGATTTCTATTGGTAATTTTTAATTATTTATAAAATTTAAAAATGTAATATTTCGAAAATTATCTAAAAGTAAATGGAAGTAAATAATTTATTTTCTTCTGTTCCAGTGACAAGCGGCGGCCAACGACAATTAATTGATGGGTGAGCAACCAGTGATTTTCAATATCCAATAACATTGATGACAAGCAGTCAACATCTAAGTGGTGACGACTTCGAGTGGCATTCGAGCGATGTCTTTCTCTTCATCGAGCAGTGTCGTCGTGAACGGTCACAAACTATGGCACGGAGCGACATTGAACGATGGAACATTTTAATATTTCAAAGATATTCCAAAGTAAATGTAAGTAATTGTTTTTTGTTTATCCTCCTCCTATTTTCTTTTGATAAGCAGTGGCTAACAAAGATTGACAGGTGAGCAATGAGAGTGTTTCTGACATCAAGCAGTGTCCGATGACAATCTGTCAAATGAGCAATGAGTGGCATCGAGTGATATTGAACGACGAAGATCACCAGAGTTCCAGTAGATGAAGCAAGAGATTAAAGAGAACAAAGATATGGTTGATGATTAAGTGATTATTAATAGTAAAATTATATTATTTTTATAAGATTTTGTAAATAGTAGGTGGTTGCTAAAAACACGCTTCCCTCTTGAACAGAAAAGTCATGATTGACTTAATAATTTAAATAATGTTAACTTTC